ATGTAGATGAATTTATGTTGTTATAAACTTCGGTTTTTGTTGGTTTAAATTTAGAAATATATATATTTAAAATTTTTAATTAAATAAAAATAAAATTTGTTAAGGTTTATCAAGGCTCCGGAATATGCTTACATATGCTTATTTTTTTCCAAATTTGAGCCTATAGGCGTTATGCTTATTTAAAAAAAAACGAGTATATACAGTAGAATTCCATTATATCGGTCCCTGGATAAGTAGGACTTTAAGGCTATCCATAAATGATGTCAGTAAATATAAGGGGGACGGGGTATTGAAATGTTTGACATGAATTGACAATGGGGAGGGGGTGTTGAAACCAACATGATGTCCATTTAAGAAAAAAAATTTAAGTTCGAGCAGATTTTAAAAATATGTAGAGTCCTGTTTAAATACGCTTCTCGAAGTATAGACCTTAGAAAATATCGCTTTTCAATTTTAATAACATATAAATTTAAATGTTTTACGTAGACATAAGATCGTTTAGCTCAATCAGTTAAGGTACGTGAAATTTCGGCGGTGAGATCCAGGTTCGCATCCCGCTGCCATTGACACTTTTGTTTATCAAACTCTTTTAACTTAAGATAGCATTTTTTGATCTCTATATTAAAGATCTTTCTTCACCTTCATAATAGTGACAACCTCTCTTCTGTTAGTTATTCTTTTAAGATTGAGTTCATTGTGCTTAATTCTACGCGCTTTCCTTGCTTTACTAAGTTTTACTTAAATTATGATGAAATGTACGTAAAACAACTTTTTCAAATAATATAAATCATTTTGCTTTAAACCTTGTGCTTTTTGTACTAGACATCTGTAATCAATCTGTAATAATTTCTAGCTAACTCTGAGTCTAATATAATCTTTTCTCCTTCTTCCCTGAGGCTCCTACAGCCTATTGTGTTCCATCAAAGTAACTAGTTTTCGAGTCCAGTTATGAACTATTAACATTGTAGGTGTAAATACAAGGTATTTACATCTTACAATGTGGTAAAGAAATAGCATATTTGCTTTAGGGGGAATTCGATGTGAGTTTCCTAGAGACATGATATAAATTAAAAAGTTTACCAACGTTTTACAATTGTATTACCATTTGACTGAAAATCTAACTGTTTACAAATATCATGAATTTGTATATAAATTTAACAATCATTATTTGATCTCAGCGTATTTTAAAATGTGCTTTAAAGCAAACACATTAAGTCATTTGTCATTATTATTGAATAACACTTCAACAACTCATGGGAAGACAATGAGTGATTGAATTTATATTATAGATATAGAATAAAATTTTCAATAGTTTGTTTACTATTTGATGAGGTATCAACTGTTCTATAATATAATATGCTGAGAAATAAATGTAAAATTTAACCAGAAAAAAATTAATGGTGTTTACGCATATCTTTAATGTTACTTGAAGAAGGGAGGGGGGAGGGTTAAAATCTGACATCATATATAAGGGGGGTTTGGCAAAAAGTTGACAGAGTTTGATAAAGAGGGGAGGGGGTTAAAAATTGAGAAAAATCACAGACAACAATTATGGACAGCCACTTTTACTAAGTTGGAAAGTTTTTCAATTTTCCTTAAACGTTCTATAAATACCAAGAGCTACGTTTAACTCGGACATTCACTAAGTCGTACTATTTATCTGTTCATTGAGAGTCCAACTTAACGGGATTTTACTGTATATATATGTATGTGGTATATTTGTATAAACATTTGAAGAATCATTTGACAACATTTTTTTATAATTTTATTATTTATTATTTAAACTGTTAACAGTTAATATCTTAAATATATCGTAACATAAAATCTTTCGTGTCTCTTTCGTAACTGCACATTCTGGAATGCTCCTTCTGTAAGGAACTATTTTGTAAGTATTCTTACAAAATGACTTGTTTCGCAAGTTTTCTATCGCAATGCTTTATTACGGAATTTTATTTATTTATATTTTTGTATAGTGCATTACGGAATGTGCTTTTTCGCATGCGCAACTTCCACAACAATAATTCTATTACGGTAGATAAAGATGCAAAATTTTCGCAAGTTTTATTTTTCGGCAAACAACCCTATTACAAATCAGATATATATATGGCAGTTTTTAATGAATTGCATGTTACCAGTCGAAGGATGTTCATAACAGTACTGAACTTAACTAAGGTCAGAACCATAATCCTGACATTACCTGTATCAGGCCCTGCGATAAAGCGTCGGGCGATGTGAATTTTACGTCGTTCAAGAGCGATTTTGCGTGTAGCTAGGGCTATTTGGGTCGAGCAAAAAATTTTTTGTTTGAGTATATTTAAAGATATTTTTGAGCAGAATTTTAATGAAGTAATTTACAATTATTTTAACATTTAGTATTTTAAAAACCGCAGTATTTTAAAAACCGCAGTATTAAACCAAAGTATTTTAAAAACCGCACGCAGTTGATATAAAAGTTTGAATTTCAAAAAAAATAAATATGCTCATTATTTACAAGTAGAAA